ATTCATCTGTCACTCCAAATTTATCTTTTGCACCTAATATTCATTACTTTCCCCTTCCCCACATATCTCTGGGGTTTTAAAGCTTGCACTGCCAGTGGTGTAATAAAACTGAGCAGATTGCAACATGTAATTGTAGGCCCAGCTTGGTGAAGAAAAATCCCCCTTTTTCACTGTGAAATTCTATTGTAATATCTGAAGACAAAGACAGAAAATAGCATTGGTGATTCAAAAACATGAAAGTTAGATTAACCATAACTTCTCAGTTACATCAGGCCTCTTGAAAAACAAGTTTTTGGCAGATACAAATGTGACAAAACTAAACAGTAACCACCTACTCTTTCCATTGCTTAGTAGACGTGAAAGTATAGGAATACTTACAGAAACATCCAGGGCAATATTTGAAAAATATGTGGGTGGAAAACCTGCAGATATAAAGCTCAGATTGATTTAAGTAGATTCTTCAGCGTGGGATAATAGGATAATAAGATAATAATAGTAGCATAAATTTGGCCATGTTAGGTTAAAAAATTATCCAGCCGGTACTACAATGTGGTCTTGAAGACAAAAGGCTCAGCCTAGGATCTGTTACTCCTGAGGGTCCGTTTTAAATAGAACAGTAAACACTGCATTCCCAACTGGGGTACAAAAGATAAGATGCTATCTCCAGAGCAATGTGAACATTTTCCTTCTGGTGTTAGTGTCATTAGCCAACCGAGCTATTGAAAATTCTCAATTATCACTTTCTTCAAGTTCAAAAATCTCTGTAGGCAAAGGCTTACGGAGTGCATTCTCCAGCTGTTTTTGCTGTGTACATAAATAGTTTCCAGTTTGTTGCTGTTTGTTTGTTTGTTTTTAAAGTATAGCTAAATATGAACTTTGTTTTTGGCAACAATGCCATTTTATCTTGTTAAAAAGAAGATCAAAACTGAATAGCTGAAGATGTACCTTTCTACAGCTGGACTTGTGGAAAGCTTTATTATCCCTCTGTAAAGGCAACCATTTTCTTCCTTCTGTGGTAATTCTTTGGATCTGCCTTCATTAGCTACGGACATTTCTTTATGGTCCTGGGGTTTCTGGGAACAATTCAGTTGGCATTGGGCAGGAGCTTTAATCACCTGGAAAGAATTTCTGTGAAAACTTTATTTTAGTTCTGAAATGTTGTTAACTAATGTGTTCGTACTTTTCTTAGTTTTAATCTCCTACTAGCTGCAAATTCAGGACCATATTTTACAGGATTATCTCTCAATATTTTTCTAATTATGAAAATAATGAATTACATTTGTTGGAATGCTCTCTTTATGAACATTTCATCATTTGAAGATGTATCTCTCCCCATTTCTGTTCTTTTTTGGAAAATGCTTATTGTAGGTTTCTCTAGCTGGTGACTTACTGCATGTGCAACAGCTCCAGTTCATTCTATGTATCCTCTAGTTGGGACCTTTATTTTTGCTTTCATACATCATTTGTGGAAGTATTTGCTACCTAATGCTTTTTTCTATTATTTCTTTTCCTTTTTTTTTAAATTTGGATTCTAATGCTCACCTTGGTGTTACAGGTATTCTTTTCTGATGTATGTTTTCTAACCCTTTTAATGTTTATTACAAAATCTCTTGAGGTGGTGGTACTTCAAATCACTTCTGATTGCATCTTCTGCTATGTAAACAGTAAATCAAACATTGAGTATTTAATTTATTTTAGCTTTAATCATTACTCAGTTCAAGACTAGTATGCTTTTCAGCCTCAAATATATGAACTTATTCATTTCATTCATCCAACTAAATATTCTTCCACTCCCAGAAGCAGTGGCTACTTCCTCAGAGCCTTCCTTGAAATTGTGTAGTTGATACATTTACTCAGAAGAGCAATTTCATCATCTCTTTCACTTTTATAAACCCCAAATCCACAGACTCAACTAATTAAGTTAGTGTTAATAAATACAAAGTAGAGATGCAAGCTGTTATTGCTGTGTCTTCTACTGCTTTTCCTATAGCTTTATTCTGCCACTGGTCATTGGGTACTCTGTAGCAAACTTAAATCTTCCACTGATACTGGTGATGCTTTCCTGGGCAAAACAGACTTTGGTTTCCAAAGGAGCTTTATTTCTTTCCGTCTTTCATTTCACACCCATTGCAACAAATTAAGGAAAAAAGGAAAACACAAAATCCAACCTTACTGCAGATAAGGATACTGAAGATAAGGATAGTATGACTGCTGTTGGGTATTTTGATCATTATTGATTCAATCATCATCTTATCAGCACTTGTTACAAGTGAAACTGAAAAACGTCAAGGACCAACCCAACATCCACTATTACACAGTGTTCACAATGGATGGATCAGTCAAGGACAAAATCCTGCAAACACCACTGGGGCTACTGAACAACAAGAATTTACTCCTCCAGGTGAAAATGATACTGAAAAGGAAACTTCTTTTACAGGTAACATTGCAACTTAAATTCTAGTATATTATCCGAGTTTACTTAAGGTTTAGTTTCAGAAAGATTTTATGAACAATTTAGTAATCCGAGGTCATAACAAATGTTTTGTGGATAAACCCCAGCAATACAGATCTATTGATTACCTTTTAAATTTATTTTTTTTTAATCTATTCTTCAAAATTAGTCTTGGAACTTTGCTTTCTCTCTCCTTTGCATCGTGTGTCAAGACCTATAGTGAAATAACACTGGAATTGTCTCTTACATTCAGCGTTCTATGTCATGCAGTCACAAGGCTTTACCAGATTATCTGCAAGGGTTACATCTGCAGGAAACAGTGAATGTTTAAAAAGAAAAACAGTGATATCTGTTGCATTTTTTCATTTGTGAATAATATTTGTGAATTGTGTTCACGCTCCTGTTGCAAGTCATTATTGGAGCTGATTTTTGCACTATTTTTTTTTTATATGGCAATTTTAACTAACTCAATAGTATCCAAAGTATCTACTCATTTCACTTTTGAAATATGACAAGATGATATTGAAGTGAACGAAAAAAGCATAGTGTGGAAGAAAAGAGAGGTTTCTCAAAGAAATTGAAACGTAAATGATGAAGTTCTACAGTAAAACTAGTGTCCGAAAATTGATAAATATTAGTTGTTGATGTCCCTGTGAGTGTATTGTTTGCTAGTTAATGACTGATGTGCTGTACTAAGCAGTGCCATCTGTTCTTGATAATTATCAAACACTGAAGAGGAGATATACATTGTTATTTGGGATGCTCTATCATGAAATTGAGGGGGAAAAAGTTGAATATAGTCAATACATAAAATTCTGTGATTAAAATCTTACCAACAGGTCAGATTCTTCCAGATACTTTGCATTTCTTACTTACACATTAGTGGATATTAGTTTGATATTCAACCAATATGAAGTCATGAGGTGCATGAGTCAGGGAAATACTTTTGAAAGTCAAGGAGATACGCTGATTCTGAAAAGCATATGCTCAGTTTGAGAAAGGATTCAATCCTATTGGTGTCAGTAGGCAGCCTTTCTAAACATAAACCATAATGAGAAGAAAATCTGCTTTACTTCTCTTTGCCATTAAATGTAGTAGACATGTGAGCAAGGCCTGTCATAGAGACAAGAACCGAAGAGGAGAATAATATGAGAAATGGATCTTTATGTACTGACTTCATAATTGCTTCACCATCATCATAACAGCTATGGTCTCCAATCATGGGGCCAAACAGAATGACTCAGCGCAAGACCCATTGGTGTATCCAGACTGGGGCAAGGAAGATTATTCCACACAATCCACTATAATGGATAGAGTTATTCCTTCCAGAGAGAGTAATCATGAAAAAGAGTCTTCTAATACAGGTACTAGTCATAATATCAATGATGCATATTTCATCATTTCTGCCTTTCAGATATCTTGTCTTGGAAAGCTATTGCATGACTTAGAAAGCAGGTAGCTTACTGATGTCCTTAAGTCTGTGACAAAGATTACAAAGCGACTCATTTTCTCTGTGATCTGCCTGGATGGTGTTGAGATATAGGATTTCAAATATGTCTTTCTATAAAACTTACAAGTAACATGATAATTCTGTTAGGAAAACTACTCTTACTACTGCTATAAACAGATGTTCAAATAATAAATATATTCCATAATTTGTAACTATTCATATAATCTTGAGCAGCAAAGGAGCATGAGTGGTTGCAGAAAGGCTTCTTTACTGCCAAGAATGATAACTGCAAGGTAAAATGCTCTGTAGAATAATTTGGAAATGACACTAACATTGAGGATCTGTGATCAGAAAGAGAACTGGTCCAGAAATTCCCCTGATTGCTTCCTCCATGTCCTCTCCGTTGTGCCCACTGTCTGGGGAATCTTTTGGATTAAGATATGAAGTGCATGAAATTAATATTTCAAAATGTAGCAATGAGGATGTAAAGGGGGACAAAACA